TATTGTATATAGCAGTAATTATCAAAAGGTTACCATTTTTTTAGCTGTTATTTTACAGCTGTTCTTTCACTTCATTTGCTGACAAATCTGAAAGGTAGGTGGCATTATCCAATTTATGCAGATGAATTGACTCAAGGACATTAAGTGACTTTCTCAAGACAGCTATTATGTAGTGGATTTGGGACCAAGGCTCAAGTCTTTTGATCATTAATCCTGCACATATCTTAGGATATTAAAAACATCTCTTAATAGTTTAATTTAGGGCTTATGAGGTACTTTTAACTCCTTGCCTAAGGAGTGTATATAAATGCTTTGAGTGTTTAAATTATTCTCTCTGCATGCCCGCCTCTCTCTCTCTCTCTCTCTCTCTCTCTCTCTCTCTCTCTCTGTGTGTGTGTGTGTGTGTGTGGTGTGTGTGTGTTTAACCTAGATGGGCCTTGAACTTGAGAGGTCTTTCTGCCTCAGTCTCCCTACATTTGGGTTATAGGAGCATAGTGGGTCAGGCCTGCAATCCTAGCATTCAGAGGCTGAGGCAGCACTGTCACAGATTTGACTCTAGTCTGTGGCACGTGGCCATAGCAAAACTTTGAACAGAAAAAAAGGGAGCTAGAGAGATGGCCTAGTGGTTAAGCTTGCTGGCTTAGAGCACCCAGGTTTTATTTTCAGCACATACAAGACAGCTCATAACCATTCATAACTCTCGTCCTAGAAGATCTGATGCCCTCTTCTGATTTTCATGGGCACCAGGGACACACAGTACACAGACACGCGTGCAAGTAAAACATAAAATTTTAAAAATTAAAAATATATTTTACAAAGAAAAAAAATCCTATTCAAGAAAAACCAGGGATGTTTTCCTGTGTAATTTTGCTCTTTAAAATTGGTAATCCTGTTTTAGCCATCCATAGGATATTTCTTTGGATGGCTTTATGAAATTCTGAATCATGAATAATCATTAACGAGGAAAATGTCGTGCACGGAGAAAGGAGTACTATCTCTGGATCACTGGAGGAGTGAGTAGTGAGGGACAAATGTTACAGTTGCATTGGAGAAGGCAGAAGTTGTTCTGGACTGAAGGAAGGCTTGGGCAGAGCAGGCGGAGATCAATAGGTACATGAGCAATGGAGCCCCAGAATGGTCTCAAAGCTCAGAGAAACCACAAGAGCATACTGGAACAGTTCTCGCTAGACATGGTCTTTTCTGTATGCACATTTATGCTGTTCTGTGTGGAAGTAAGTGTATGTGAAACTATTTTGTGAATTTTCAATGTCATGCACATGAGAGTGGTGGATAAAGAACCCCTGATGCTCTTGTGAAAGGAAGACAGCCAGAGGGCATCCAAACCTTAGGCGGCAGGGAAGAAACAGAAGGAGAGAACACATGGGAAGGAGAAGCATTAAGGTAACAGTCCGGACGGCCAGAGAGTGAGCAGAGTTGGTTGGGCGCCCAGAGAAAGTCCAGCTCTGGAGGTTAACATATGGGACACAGGCGAAGGAACATCAGCACAGAGTTGAGGCGTCTTTTCCACTCTTCTTTTTAGTCTGTGCTGTTGGTGTTAATATGCTTATGAAAATAGCTAATTGAGAGTTGGCTGTATTGTCTGATTGTTTCTTCACTCATTATTTCTGCACAAGGTTAGCTACTGGCTTTAAATAGTATAAGGGAGCTCATAAAAATAAAATAACCTGGGCTAGGTTACTATTTATTCTGTATTATTAAAAATGAAAGGGCACAGTGTGGTTAAGGAGATGGGTAAAATTTGAGTTTTCTAAATGAGAATTTAAAAAAATGACGTTAGACCATATCTAGGGTGGAGTGGGAGCAAGTGAGGCAGAGTCTTTGGTGCTGTGTTAGCATTTAGATTGTGATTTGGCTACATGCATTGGAAAGTAGGACTGTTTGGATTTTATAAAACGACCATAGAGGTAATAAATAGAATACTCTGGAGGGAAGGAAAGTGGAGACCTTACCCACCCACTAATTATTGCTTACGACAAGATGAGTGAGTGAATGACATGATACTGTCTGACCTCTCACTAGGAAATCACAGTCAAGGATGTCATTTAAGACTGCTTTTGTATAAGAAAAAAATTATCTGATAGTCTGAACCAAGGAATTTTTGGTGGTGGAGTAGAAATGACACCTGGATTTAGAGAAATGTGGGAAATCCAGTGTCTAGGCATGGGTTGGTGCTGGAGGTGGTACAAGTTGAGCATAGGATGGCTTGGCAGTAGAGTTCCATATCTAAACTCCAGAGAGGGGAATGTTGAGTTTACATGTCCACAGATAAATAAGTCATGACATGACCAGGATGTCAGTTAACATACAGGACTAGACCGAGAGCCTGGTCCTATTTACAGACACGATTGGGAAAGCATATAGTTTATTGTTGAAAATCCTGAAGTACTGCAAATAATAACCATAGTTTCCAAATGATAATGAGTTCAGAACAAAAAGTCATGGAAACTCCTGGCACTTGAGTTCAAAAGTATAAACATTTTAAAAATATTTACCTGTTACTGCCATCTAAAACTCTTACTCTCTGTAGCTCTGGCTGTCCGGGAACTCACTGATAGACCAGCCTGGCCTCAAACTCACAAACATTCCTGTGTCCGCCTCCCAAGTCCTGAGGATTAAAGGTGTTGCCCACTGGCCTTGAATCTGCTTGCTTTTAGGATCTCTGTTTCTTTTGGGCTGTCGGGTACTCTAACCAGACATGGAAGTTTGAAGACTTTTTCTAAATCTAGTCCAGAGTATCCCTGAGCCAGCAGTTTTGCCACTTCCTCCCTGGCCCTCCAGCCTGTTAGAACTTGAGGCTCTGAGAGGAATCTGAAGAGTGCTGAAACTTTGCAGCTTTCCTTCAATGGAGGGCTCCTGTAACTAGGGCCGTGGTTCTCAACCTTCCTACAGCTGGACTCTTTAACACAGTTCCTCATCTTGTATTGTCCACCAACCATAAAATTAATTTCCTTTGCTACTCCATAACTAATTTTGCTGCTGTTTTGAATCATAAAGTAAATATTTGATCCATAGGTTAATTGATCCATTTGATCCATTTGCTGTTTCCATGAACCCCTGGAGAGGTCGTGACCCTCAGGTTGAGAACCACTAAACTAGGGGAAGGAATTGATGAGACAGTAAGATTGAGATGTCCAGTTTCAATGAAATAAATACATCTGTTAGGAGCAAGATCTTCAGGCCCTGTGAAGAATGTGGAAAGAATCTCATAGGTGATTGAGTTTCATGAAAAGACAAATTTAAGTTCAGCTCTAAAGAAAGCAGACCGGAGTGTGGCATGGAAGGAGTGACAGTGGAAGGAAGGCAGGAAAACAGTGCAAGAAAAAAAGAGCGTTAGGAGAAAGGCAAGGAACTAGAGTAGCACAGTGATTGAAGACAGCATCTGCCACTGTAACACAGCACATAAATTATTCATTACAAAGAGGAAAGGACTCTTTTGGCTCATAGCTCTGGAAGTTCTAGTCTGATAATGACCTCACTGCTTTGAGCTTGTAGTGATGTACCCCATCACAGTCGGCGTGAGTGGCAGGTTAAAATTGCCCATCTATTGACCAGGAAGCAAAAAAGAGAAAGAGTCTCAATCCTCTTTGAGGACCAAAGGACCTTTCCCTAGACTCACCTCTTTAGGCTCTGCCACCTCCTAATAGTGCCACCTGGAGATCAGGCCTTAAAAAGCTGGGCCTTTGGCGGGGGTGGAGGTGGGGTGTCACATTCTTAATCCAGACTGAAGCAGTTTGAATTGAGGTACCTAAGAAATTAGAATAGGTAGGTGACTGGAAACTAAAATTGGGGGACTCCCTGGAGCGGCAGTTTAGTAGAAAATCAAACATGAACAGAGATAATAACAAAGAGCAGTTCAGCACTTAAATGACAGTTTATTCTGTTTGTGATGCCTGTTTACAGTCTAGACAACACTGATTATCTGTGTACAGTCTAAATCCTGTGTTTTTCTTCATTTTGTTACTATGTATCTCTGTATCAGTCATTCTTAAAAGTTCCTAGACTTGAGAGCTTTATGAGTCTCAAATTCTGGTTGAGTAAGTAGGAAGAGGCCAGGTGATTCTGATATGCATAATCTTCAGTCCAGTTTGGAAAAAAAAAAAAAAAACATTCTAAAGGGTAGACAGACAGAAGACAGGATTACAGGTTTTGTTCATTTTTTTTTTCATTAAAAAAATGGACATATACTATACATGCAGTAAAACACAAACATGCTAATTATACTTTAAAAAAACTTATCTTTTTACCTGTCTCATGTATCAGAAGCTGGCTTTGAACTTTGATCCTCTTGCTTCCACCTTGCATTCATTACAGGTTTGAGCCAGCATGCCACCCAGTTCTGTACTCTCTTAACAAATTTATTGTGCCCTGCAATTCTTGTTTTCTGTTTTTTCCATACCTGCAACCCATGTTCTGATTTTTCTTTTCCCAATATAAGATGATTTTGAAAGGTATGAAGGATAGCTCAGCATAAAGATTTTGCCACCCAAGTATGTGGGCCCATATTGGGATCCCCAGCATCTATAAAAAGCCAGGTGTGACTGTTCGTGTCTATAACTATGACAGTGGATCCCATAGGCTTAAAGACCAGCCAATCTAGATGAAAGGGTTCAGCAAGAGACTCTGTCTGAAAAAAAATAAAGTGAGGAGCAATGGAGGAAGACCTCTGATGTATTCTGTGCATGCACAGGTGCTCATATATGCATACCACCCACACACACAAAGAGAGAGACTAAGTCTATTTGTTGTAGAAGTTTAAAAAGGGGTTGTGCAGTATATTCTGTTGGGCTTTTGATCAATGTGATGTTTTGAGTTTCTTCTGTGTTACAGGTGATGGTAGGTTTTTGTATGTTTGTTTTTAAGCTGCAAGCATTGTGTGATTTGTTGTGGAAAGGGTTGTTCCCAGCTTTCCACTCTTAGGAATAAAGTTGCAGTGAACATTTTATATCTCCTTATGGCAGGGTTCTTTTTTGTCTTTACAGGTGGAATTGCTGGAAAGACAGTTTCTGGGGTGGATTTCCCATTTTACAATCTGTGACGGTTAATTTCTCATCTTGACTGGATCGAGAAAGCCCCAAGAGATGAGAAAGTTCACCCCTGGGAAGAACTGTTTAAAGGTTACCCCACCTTTCATGAGGGCAGGATTATCCCTGAGGTTCTGAAGGAGGTGGGAGTTACCATGGAGTGCAGACATTTCCTTCTCTGCTGGGTGACTTCTGATGGCATCAGCTGTATGTCCAGCTTCCCCACATCCTCCTGGCCATAGGGGATCCAAAGTAAATGTGTCCCCTTAAGGCAGTGCTCTCAACCTTCCTAATGCTACGACCCTTTAATACAGTTCTTCATGTTGTGGTGAGACCCCCCAACATAAAATTACTTTTGTTGCTACTTAAGAATTGTACCTTTGCTACTCTTATAAATCATGGTGTGGAGGGAGGGAGGGTGGGATTGGGAGGGATTGAGGGAGGGGGCTACAGCTGGGATACAAAGTAAATAACCTGTGATTAATATAAAAAATAAAAATTAATTTAAAGAAGAGAAAAAATTAAATCCTAATGTAAATATCTGTGTTTTCTGATGGTCTTAGGTGACCCCTGTGAAAAGATCATTCTACCCCCAGAGTGATCGACCCAGAGGTTGAGAACCACTGCCGTAAGGTGTCTTAGCTGGGTATGTTGTTAGGAAACATAAAACTCACTGACATGCCCCTCATTTAGTCTGAGTCGTTTGCACTCTCCCTCCCCAGTGGTCTAGTCAATCATGTTGTGGCTTGAACTTTACTTTTCTGGCAATTATTGATAATTGAGTACTTTATCATGTGCTTATGGTCATTTGCATATTTTCCTTTGTGAAACGTTTGTTCAAAACAGCCAGTTTTCTGCTTACTAAATTGTAACTTTTTCTCTAGTGTGTGCCTTCCCTATTCATGCTGGTGTCTCTCATTTTATTAGAATTTTCTTTTATGTTAGTTTTCTGAGTCCTTTATAGCAATGGAGATTTTATATATATATATATATAATCTCCACACACATCTGTTTATTTAGATCAAATTTCTTGAGCAGTACAGTATATACTTTTCTGTGGAAGTATTTTCAAGAATATTGTAAGATTTCTTTACTTTCACATCCCTATTTCTCAACTCTTCTCATAGATTCCTCTTGTGATCTGCCCTGCAAATCGTGCCCCAGGTGCCACAAACCCTTGAGCATTGGCACTTGGGAGATTCCAAGCAATCAGTTACAAGCAATCCTAGGCTCACCTGACTCATTTTCCTCCTTTCAGGGATCATGATTCTATATTGCTTGTTTTCTAATTTCAAAAAATGTTTTGATATGTCATAATTAGTGATCCAAGTCTTTTGCCTTCATTTTTAACATGGGAGAGTATCAGTGCATGCTGCTGACCCTAAAACAGACCAGACTTAGAAGTATAAATTCTGCTAAATGGGAAACCTTTTTTTGGACCTTATAAAGTCAGAAAATCCTAAGGTGAGCCATCATAAATCAGGGCCATGTGTAGGGCCTAAATTTATGTCTGTCCTGCAGGAGGTCTAGCCAGTCCCATTTATTCCAGTCCTAACTGTAGTTGGGCTCTTTTTTTTTTTTTTTTTTTTTTAATTTTGTTAATTACCATAGCCCAGGGTGACCTTGAACTTATATTCATCCTGCTTGAGTCTTCTTAATTTTTCTTTTCCTCTCTTTGTTTTGTTTTCTGGGTGAGGCTTTTGCCTAAGGCCCAGCAGATGCTGGGCAAGCAAGCCCTTTCTCACTGAACTGCAGTTTACTGCATCTAAGAAGATGATAACTTACAGTGTCTGTCCCTAGCATCTTAAACATCTAGACCTGTCAATTCTTCAAAAAGTTACTTTAGTGACTCAGATTTATATATTTGCTATGTATAGAACATCTTAGAAATCTACAGAATTATATTGAGAGATAAAAGATATGGTTGATGGACAAATAAATAGACCCTGGGGTGATACCATTCATCCACTTATTCAAAAAATGGCTTTAATGTGAATACTCTAGAGTGTATTTTCTTTAGCAGTTGCAGACCTAGAAATTCACTGTGCCTGGGGAAATAGGTTTTTAGTTTAAGTAAACTTAGAAAGGACTTAATATGGAAGGCCGTCTATTTTTACATTTTATTAAGATTAGAAAGTATCAAAGCATGTTGGTCTAGTAGCTTAAACCTTTATCAGCTGTATCTGCCAATGAGCACAGCTCGTTCTTATTCTTGAGGTTGGAGACAGTGGTTCATTTTTATTTATTGGTAGACTTTGTGAAGAGCTACATAGTTGAAGGCAAGTTGTTTGCTCTCTTGAACCTCATTTTTCTATCAACACCATAGTAAGCAGCTACTGTGTAGATTTGTTTGTTTGTGTGGTACCGGGGTTGAACATGTCTCTTGTCATGCAAGGTGGGAAGTGCTTTACCACAGAGCTGTTTCCCACCCTTGTTTTACTTACTTTAAGACAGGATTTTACTTAATTGCCTAGGCTGGGCTTGAATTTGTGCTATTGCTCAGGCAGGCTTTGAACTTGTGATCATCCTATCTCAGCTTCTCAAGTAGCTAGGACTATAGGCCTGTATCGTCAGGCCGCTTATCTCATAAGACTGTTGTGAGAACTAAATAAAGTAGTTCAAATAAAGTAAGCATAGTGCTTGTACTTGGCTGCTCTTCAGTAATTGTTAAGATTGTTTTCTGAAGGTGGGAAGGGATGAGTTAGGTGGCTCAGGGACGTGGAAGTGGGGAGCTGGGAGGTGGGTATGATCAAGGTGTGTTGTATACATACATGAAATTGTTCATTTTTAAAAGAAGAGTTTCTTCTGCTTACAAGGTTCAGGTCTAAAGCTTAGAGTTGTTCTGGCTTGACCTTTTGTAACAGATATTACTGTCAACTGTCTATGTATAGAATGCTAATCCTGCTTGATTTTGGTGAACACTGTAACAGTGGTTCACGCAGGTTGTTTTACTCTGAGAAATAGCTCTATTTGTATTCATCAAGAATCTTTTTTTTTTTTATAGCTCTTTGTTACTTCCAAACATAAACCATCTCTTTAGGATACGTTTTCATGAAGAAATATTTAAAGTACAGTGCAGCTAAAAACATCATCTGCTTTCAGATCTTTCTAGAAGTTTCTGCTACATCTCCCAATCACAACTTCTGAAGCGTAAACGAAGATAACATGAAGTTACAGTGACAGCCACCCAGTGACCGACCTGAAAGGTGACAGGTGGAGTGGGGAGTGCAGTGCTGCGTCTCACAACACAGGTTCTGTGTTAAGAGCTTGACCAGTTATGCTGTGAAGACACAGGATGCAATCTGCATCCTTGTTCATTTGAAGTGCAGTGTTTGCCATGATACCAAGAAGGAAAATGGCAGCGGAAGCTTGACAGGTTTGCTTTCATAGAAATTTCTTGGCACTAAAGAGAATAGTTTTTATCTGACTGGTAAGAAAATTGAACTTCATTCCTTTACTTTCAGATGGAAGATTATTGGCAGTAATTATTGAAATTTTGATTATCAGTGGTTAGCCTGCCAGGGAAATTCTGGTTTGGGGCCTCTTTGTAGTAGTCACATAGTACAAAAGAGCATTCCGTTTCTCTTACTGAAGAGTCTGGTCAAGCTTTCAAACAACTATCTATTCAGATCTGATACATATGGAGCAGTGTAAGTACGAATCTTATGGAGGCTTTTTTATTAGTCAGTTGGACAAAGTTTTGAGTTGTGGCTCAGTGACCATGCCACACATCAGCTGGTGATATTATCAGTAGCCTGAGCCAAGACCAGAGCACTGAAAACTGCTAAAGTTATTTTTATAAAACTGTGTTTGATCTCAGTTTCTTTCTTAACCAGGCCATTACACAAGTAATTGAGACTCTATTATGTTATTTTAACAAGCTTCACAGCATAAGAACTGAGCAGTTATCCTCTGTTCCTAAGCCTCTGCTCTAACCCGGCTTCCTCCCAGCATACATACCAGAGATACTTGTACTCTGTAGCTTCTCCAGCTCCACTCTTCATGTCTCTTGGACCTCTGTCTGTGGCTGAATCCCTTATTTTCTCTTCTAACTCCACCTCCCCTGGCTGGCAGGAAGGCCAGCCCTAGTCTCTCTCCTGCTCAGCGATTGGCAGTAAGCTGCTTTATTGGCAGATCAGGGGACAATTGGGGAGCAGTTATTTACACAAAATTGAGACAGGAGGATTCTTAGAATAAGGATTGCAACCAGATATGGGAGGTACAAAAATAAGCATTTAAATTACACAGTAAACTTTATGCCTACACCAAACCTGGATGTAAATTCCTATACCTTACCTAGGTTTTAGGTTATTAAAAAATATATAAGAAGAAAACACACACACACACAAAATATAAGCCTGTTCTTCCTCTCTGGAGTATTTTTTTTTCTATAGAAATGAATTTGAGGTCTCTGAAACAATCTGAAAAGAACAAATTGGGGTATTAATTGTAAATTCTTGTAGAAAAAAAACAGCACAAAGACGACAGAACATGATATAGGTTTGAAAATAAAATTGAATGGCGGAGAACAGAGTGGGGAAAGGGCTTCAGAATAAGAAGTTAAGTTTGAAATGAAGTGAGTATTGGGCATGTGGTGCTGTAGCTGCTGAGTGTCCTCAGAGGAAAGGGGCCGGCACAGTCAAGAGTCTGGGGAGGCCAAGGTCACTCAGTGATAGAGAAATCTAGGAAAGTGCCAACAAAAGTAGAGAGAGACAGATCCTGGAGGGGAAAGGCTGCTGAGTAAGGTCATGCTGAGTAAGGTCAAAGCATTGAGTGGAGGAAAAATAAAATTCTCCTAAAGAGGGAGATATTATGTATATTATATAATATACATTATATACATATATATATATATATATATATATATATATATATATATATTACAAAATACAGTAGAAACAAGGCAGATGACATCCCATTTTGGGAAATTTAGACATTAGGAACTTGCTGTGCAATGAAGAGCAGCCATATTGGGACAGACTTGGAGGTTGCTGGTAGACTAAAGATTAAGCTTACTTAGGGAAGTGAGAATTAGTACAAAAACCAAAAGAAACAAAAACTATAAGCACAAGAGCACACAGTTTAACCGAGGTGGAGGACATGGAGGACATTCAACTTACATTGAATTTTCTGTTTTTCCTTGGGGGAGTGGGTAGGTAGCTCCCTCAGTAAATTAGTAAACCATGTGCGGTTAGAGACATGAGGCCCTGAGTCTGGATCCTAGCAGCCATATGAAAAACCAGTGTGTAGGAACGTGTACCTGTGACCTCAGGACTGGGGAGGCAGAAACTAGATTCCGAGGCTTGCCAGCTGCCATCCTAGCTCACTTGCTGAGCTCCAGGTTCAAAAGGTAGGGCCCAGCCTGTCTATACACACTCTTACACATATACTGGAAAAAAAATCCCTGTTAACTTGAGGAGCAAGGTGAATTTTATTAAATAAAATTCATCATGCCCAGAAAACTAAGGTTTTCCTTTTTTTGTTTTTGTTTTGCCTAAGGAACATAGCAATACAGTGACTTCTTTTTTTTTTTAATTTTTATTATTAGTTACATTTTATCCTACATGTAAATAAAGGAGTAGCATTGTGATTTCCTCACATAATTAGTAATCTGCAGAATGGGGACAAGATTCCCATTGTTCAGTACAAAATTGCATCTTAGAGTACACAGATGTAGGATCAAGTGTCCAGGAGAACTGGACACTTTGCACTTGTTTTATTTGGGCCAGGGTTATCCCCCAGGCTGTACTGGCTGTCAGTATTACACTGTATCACGTCTATTTCAGCTGCTTTGCCTGTAAGCAGCACATCTGTATACAAGGGAATGCACGTTGCGTGTTACTGCCAAGTCACTGTACCTTACAGCTAAACCCCAGGACTTTTGAGACTTAAGCTAGTGTTGAGGGAACCTGAATCCGTGTTGCTCTCCCATTAATTGTCCTCTGCCCTTGACCCTGTGTTTGCTTCATTTGTTGCCCCCTTCTTCCTTGAAAAGTTTTTTTAAAGAATGCGTTTATTCTGCATTTTACCCATAACCATGGGTTTATAATATAAAATTAACCTGTATCTTTCTCAGATCTGCTTTAAATAGCACTTTCTTCCAACCTAAAAATTAATCCGTATTGAATCCAATGTACAGAAATTTTTTAAAGAATATAAAATTACAATAATCAAAAACTATGCAGGGATCTCTCGGTGTTCCTTATCAATAAGTTTTTAAATATTTTAAATTTATTTTTATTTCATATACATAAATGTTTTGCCTGCATGTTTGTCTGTGTATCACTTGTATTCCTGGTATCTGAAGACATCAGTGATCCAGAAGGCATCAGATCCCCCAGAACTGGGGGTTTCTGATCCTTGTGAGCTGCCAGGCGGATGCTGGGAACTGAGGCTGGGGGAGGGCAGGCCTGCCAGAGCTATGTTCGTCATGCTGGGGCTGGCTAGAGTCTCTTCAGTCTCACTGTTCATCCATGGCTAGCCTCAGACTTTAAATTCCTCCTACATTGGTCCTGCAGGCATCAGCCAGCACTCCCAGCTTCATTATGTTTTCTGAACATCATCTTCTTTGGTTTCTTTATAATGCATTTGATTCAATAAATTTTCCTATTGCTCTGAGATATCTTCCATCTGTGATGTTTACAGCTTTAAATTTAAATTTTTGATTTTTCTTTTTTTTTTTTTTTTAAAGCCAAACTAATATTTGGACATTTACTGTAATTGGTCAAAAGTTCTAAATATTTCAGAAATTTAAGAAATAATGGGAGAGAGGAAAAGGTATTTTAAGCACTTGCAGTTTAGACTTTCTGTTAGTGATAGAAAATTTTAAAAAGAGGAAACTTGAGAGTTTTTTTGTATGTGTGTGAATGTTTTGCCTGCATGTGTGTGATTGCTACAAGCCTCCCTGGTTCTAGTTTTTTCTTCCCATCTGCCCTCATGAAAATAGCTCTCATTTGAGCAGCTAAACTGGAGATTTAAAAACTGATATATGTTTCTTTTTGGTTTCTCACATGTGGTTGGGGAATAACATGGAATAGTTCGTCTCCATTAGATTCAGACTTTTTAATTAGAGTGTATAAAATTAAAAAAATAAATGTCCTATGTTACGGATTTACAAGATTACTCTCACAAATAGTGGCTGTTTCTACATGTTTCACCTCAAACATTTGTTTTGTGGGGGTGGAGTAATAGATAATTTCCGTTCGCTTCATTATTCTTCTACATATTTATAAAATACATCGCTGGCAGTTCCACTTTTGTGCATGTCACAAAGAAACTTTCTGAGCCTAGGTCCAGGAAGGACAGAGCAAAACTAGAGAGGGAAACACTTAGAGAAACAACAAAGTTTTGTCAGAGACAATTATGAACAACCGTAAGAACACACATTTACACATTAAATAGCTAAAAGAAATAGCCTGGCTTTAATCCCAGTGCTTGGAGGCAAGGGCTGGTGGACCTCTGTGGTTCTGAGGCCATCCTCATCTACATAGCAAGGCCTGCATAGTCTTGAAAAAAATGCTTTAAGCTGCTTCTCAGTGTTTGATGGTCAGGCTTATTTCAGTTCATTAACAAAATAAAGGTTTTTGATTGTCCTGTTTCAAAATAAAATTGTTGCATGGTGGTGCATAGAACAAGGTGTTTTATTTGGGTTTATAGCTGTAATTTTGGCTAGTATGCTTCACATTTTTTTAATTGAATGAATCTAAACATCTGATTTGCTTTTCCCCTTCCCAGCACCATTCTCAGTCAGCTCTCTGAAGAACAGACTGATTTGAAGATGTTTACATTTTTTTTTCTTGTGGGAGAGCAGCTCAGTCACTAGAAATAAAAAAATGAAACTACCTTGAGTGCTTTCTTTCTTGGATTTATTGCAAGCTGTCAAATTATTTGAAGCTAGTTATTTCTCTTTAGAACTAAACTCTGGGCTAAAAGAGTGTTGTCTGTAAGTATGGAAATGAGTGGTAAATGTATCCTAAGCAATTTTATAAAAGTAAAAAGGAGAGTGTTCTCAGAGGCACTTGCGTTCTTAGACGTGTCTTGTGGTGTTCCTTGACACTTGAGGTTGTGGCATTATGAAGGAAGGAGGCAGTCTAGAGCACATTCACTCACAGTGTTCTTTGTAGGTTATTAGGAGGGCCTCGATGAGCTCACAGTTTCCCCGTTACACCCTTTTCTGGATTTAAGATTCCCACTAAGTTCTTCAACGGAAAGTTACTTGCTTTGTTGTTCAGCTGGTTTGTTGCTTAGCTGCTTTTTGGTATGAAGAGAGACGTGTTGGGGGCCTTGATGACTTGTGCCCTAAGATGTTTCACCTTATTGTGGAGGAAGTGCTGATGGGACTTCCATACACATAGATCTGGTGCTCAGTGAAAAGAC